TTCAGCGATCTGCACCTGATGACAATTCAGCATTCGCTGTTCACTATACTGCTCACACTATTGCTTATCTAAAACTAACTGAAGTTTTCTGTAGTGTTTGTAAGGTCTTCAAATATTCGTGCATACATCTTCCTCGAGAAGCAAGGGCTTAGCTGCAGAAAACAGAAGTTTCAAAGTACATAGCAAGTTCAATCAGTTACTCCATTCTTCCCAGAGAGCAAGAATTTTCCGAATTACTCTCTTCCAATTTTTCTTGATGCCTGAAGCAATTGCAGTATGCCAAACTGATACTCCCTCATGTGGCGTTGGTGCTGCTTACATGTGCCTATACAGTGCTTGGTGCATCCATTTTCTACACGGTGGAGCGACCACACGAAATGGAAATGAAACAGCATCAGGTAGGGTTCTTTAATCTTGAGTTTCTTTAAGTTGTCTAGTTCTTTTTTCCAACTTCAAACGATAGGTTTTTTCCGAAGTAGATGTTCATATCGGGTGTCTCTCCTCCATATGAACCTCTATTGTACTGGTTCAGATTATTTTCCATTCTAAACCTGCGTGAAAGGGCACCCTTTGAACTTTTGAGAATGTCTACCTACTAAAATCCAACAGAAGCTCTCAGTTTCACTTTACAGTTACTCTGGATTTTGTCTGAACTCATTCCGAAAAATTAGGGTTCCGAACAAAGTCAAGAGACATAGTTTCTTTTTTGGGATGTTCCCTCAGGATTCCTGGAGGCTCAAATAGTAACGAACGTGTATGTAGCCTGTAACGGACGCGTGTGCAACTTATGGGATACTTCCACCTAGGTCCGAGATGAGATTGGAGCGTTATATACAGTTCTGGGTGGGAACAATAAGGGAGCGATATGGAACTTGCAAGAAATTTCTAACTGGCTACCGTTTGCATCTTTACTGAAATGTTCAACTCAAATACCTACCACGGTCAAATCAAGTTCAAATGGCTACAGTATAGGTGAAAAAATCGAGGACCTCTTTTTACAAATAATGGTTACATAGGCAGTGGGCCTCAAAAAACTGACAAATGTCTTGTTGTAGAAGTTTCGCTCCGAAGTTCAAATACTTTCAGTTGAAAATGATCTACTCTCGTCAGGATGAGTTCGTCAATAGTCTCATTCGATTAGCCTCAGTCAATACCACAGGTTTCTTTTTGTATCTTTTTTTGAACTTTACATCTGCCGGTCTGTCAGACGTCTCTTGGTCGAAGTAGTGTATCTGGCTTCAATACACTTTCTTTACGAGGGTTAAAGTTATACAAGTTATGGATACTTAGAACGATACCATGTCCCTGACTAGATAAATCAATCGTTTATGACTGCGTCTGAATGCAGAGTACAGAAATAGGGCCAAGCAATGTTTACCTGGTGTTTACCCCGCCATTAGACCTTTGTTCCCCTTTCAACATGCACAGAAGTACGAATTTTTTAGAAGAAAAAGAATTTCGATTTTTGCTTCAAAAGAAGTCTTTATGTAACTATTTCCCCAGAATTTCTTGAGCTTATGTAAAAAAGACCTTCCTCACCTCAATCCTATTTCAACAAACTTGTGAACGAGACCATTTAGATATATTACTCTTTCCGGCATTTTGGTGCCCAGATTAACTTTTCAGGCTTTGACTTGAGGTTAGGTAGACCCCGGGCCCCTGACCAAGCTATTTCAAAGTATGCGAGCAACTACCACTTTGTCAGAAAATATTTTCCTAGGGAATACCCCTCGTCAGTGTCTTTGACCCATACAGATCGCCACCTCGCAGAAGAGAACTTGCAGCCTAAGTGATAGTGCGGAGCACTTATGAACAACCCCTTATGAACCTAATTTGGACGAGGATCTGATAGAACGACAAAGTTTTGTGATCTATCCTAGGTTTCGATCATGAAATTGAGATTTAGAGCGAATCGATTGGGAACTGGTTGCTCAACAGCATCTCCACAACATGTCCGATCAGTTGTTTGTGGCGTTCGAAAAATACTTTCTGACGAGCAATGAGGTTTGTTTTTCAATGGTCCTATCTTACATAGCTGTACTAATGATTTTGTATGTCATGGCCGATGTTTGCACTGGATAATTACAGTTATACTAAAATGGTTAGGAAGGAAATATAGATGACCCGGAGACTAGCTGGATATGAAAGTGTAGCACACCGTTTCGATCTAAAGACTTCCTATAAATCGGAGAGACAATTTTGCTGAAGTCAACCGTCGACTGAGAACTTATAGGATATTTTTTTTTATCATGAGGTTGACGCAGGTTCTCTTTGTTTCCTGAGGAACCGAATTCAGATTTGACTACTTCTGAACTCCTTTCCCACAGAAAGCTTAGGAGGTTGCCTGATTAGGAATATTTGAAGTACCCGAATCACTTGCACATTATTATCCCATTCATTATTTTTACGGGGCATTCTCTGAAATGATTACACCAAAAAGAAGTTTGAGTAGATGACTTATGGGTGGCTTTGATTGAAATCAAATGAGTTCTCTAAAAAGAAAAGAGTTTTGCTAGTCTATTATGTGGATGGAAGAGCATTTCAAGTTAGTGAAGGAACTGAATTAAACCCAGAGGAAAATATATCCATAACTTGGAGAGGGAAATATTTTTTGAAAAAGTTTTAATAAAAAGAATAACTCGGCACCTCAATTTTTGTTACCTTTTTGTTTTGAAGGGCGAGAGGGGTAATACCCTATCAGTTGCGAAGAGAACACCTTTCCGATATATTTCCCAAGGTGGTCTTTCTAGTTTGGATATCATTCATGATTTTAACAACAGCTGGCATTCTTCCAGAACTGATTGTTCATTCCTTTCTCACGCCTGCATTGTTGTGAGTCGTGTAGGATAGGGTTCAGGAAGCCGAGCTTGACTGAGAAATAGTATTAAAAAAAATTCAGTTTTTTTTCAGGTGAAGAAGAATACTACGGCAGAAATTTGGTCATTTTCTACTGCTATATTCTTCGCAGTCACCGTGGTGACAACAATCGGTTCGTTTACTTCCGTTACCACATACGCTTCCATTAAGTTCTTGAAGTGACCAGTAAATCAGAGTTGATAGGTATTGTTGATAGTAATATTAATAATGTGATCAAAACTCTCCAGCTTGTACAAGTTTATCCCTCAGATCCTCCAGAAAATCTCCAGTAACCGAATGGGAATAGGGCCTATGTAGGTGTTTGCTGTCTTTTTTTCCCTTCAGTCGTTATCACGAGCTTATTTGTAACATAACATGCCTACTATTTTGAAGACCTAGATTATCTGTTAATTGAGAAATCCTTTACAAAAAACCCTAGGAATTTTAAATTCTAATCTTATGAATGTAATCGAGCGGGAGAAAAAAATAAGCGAAAATTTTTTATACAGGTTATGGCAATCCAGTTCCCGTCACCAACGTTGGCCGCATCGTGTGCATCATGTTCTCGTTGTTTGGGATCCCACTTACTCTCGTCACCATCGCCGATCTTGGTTAGCTTTTTTATAGAAACTTCATTGCAGTCGTAAAAATATTTCTATTGAGCTATATGAGTATAGATGGATATGTGCTATATAAGTATAGATGGCTTTACCTGTACAACCTGCCGTCCCGTTGATTATCGATTTCTTAAAAAAAACGCCAGTACCGTCTACATTTGTCCTTGACGCGAGCCAGTGTGTTCTAGTGGATTGTCCTTGCTTGAGTGCAAGGCATAGCATTCCTTTCGATCAGAACTTTGTGAAAAACTCTTGCCATCGCGCTAGCTACCGTCTTGGTCTTCTTTTCATGTCTCATGAAGTCCACTCTTTAATCGCACTGGTCCAACGATCATCACAAGATGACATGACGTGCCTGGCCCACCTGATCTTCGATTCCTTGGCGTTCCTAATCTTCATTTGGTTTCAGAGCTTGAAACTCCCGAATTCCTCTTTACACCTCCATATATGGGGAACTCCGAACATAGTCCTTAGCATAGCTCGTTGAATGACGCTGACATGAGGGCTCTTACTGGGAAATTACATGTTTTCATTTTCATCCCCACCTTTGTTTATTTTTCAGAAGTCAGGTTTATCTAGCTCTTACCTGAACAGTTTTTTTCGTACGGTCGGGATGCATTTGATCCAATGCATTCTGAACGATTCCTGAATTGATTATTTCCAGGCAAATTCCTTTCCGAACACCTTGTTTGGATGTACGGCAACTACCTGAAGTTAAAACATTTCCTGTGCGTCCGACGACGAGGCGAACGAAAGGAACGGAGAGAACATGTGTGTGAGCACTGCCAGCGACATGGAATCGGCCACGATATGCATGTCATCGAAGAGCAGCGGTGAGTTCAGATTTTCATTTAGCCCCTAGCTCAAGCGTATCCTACTGCTAGAAATACCTAACCATTTCAATCTGAAGGGTAGCCCTCCAAAGTGGTACAGTTCTGAAAGAGAATGAGAAGGCAAGGACCGAGAAGTAATGATTTTATTCATTTATTTTACTAGCAGATCGCAAAGATTGTGTTCTTTATGGCACTACATATTTAAAACCATTCGTCGCTCAAAAAGAACGGAATCTTTACCTCCTTCTCAGCAGCCACGATTTTTTCCAAATTGACCTTTGTAGAACTGCTGAGAAATTTTGAGAAGCAAACTTCTCTTGTTTTTTAAAATACCATTTGTTGGCCTTATAATGTTTTGGTGAGGAAAGGGTATTTCGCTTGGAAATCCTGCAAAAGTTTTTAATATCATCAATTGGTAGGTTCCTTAACACCAGTGCGACTTCCTCCAGAAAACTCTATGAACATCTGGATCACCCTCTCTAGCCCCACTCCCTCTCTCTAGCTCCTCTCCACCAGTTGTGGCACTGTTTCTTGCTTTGTTCAGTCTGCCGTAGTGGAAAGAATCCATAATTTCAAAATCGGTGTATTTCAGGATTCCTGCGCTTTTGGTGTTGGCTATTCTGGTGTTGTACACAGCACTGGGTGGTGTATTGATGTCGAAACTGGAGCCATGGACGTTTTTCACTTCATTCTATTGGTCATTCATTACAATGACAACTGTGAGTCCATTGCTTCTGCATAATGCCCGCGAGAACATGCTTTCTCCCTGGGGCAAATCTCCTCTAATCCTTTTTTTTCCCAAATACTTTTCTTTTCCAGGTCGGGTTTGGTGATTTAATGCCACGTCGTGACGAGTATATGTATTTCATTTTGTTATATATTATTTTAGGTGAGTTTTCATTTCAATAGTATTTTTTTGATCAAGCCTAGGTAACTAAAGTATTATGGGAGTGACTACAGTAATCTCCTCTCGAAAGAAATCCTTATAAACGATTGTTTTTGAGGTCTTGCTATTACAACCATGTGTATCGATTTGGTTGGCGTTCAATATATCCGGAAAATTCACTATTTCGGTCGAAAAATACAAGATGCCCGTTCAGCCTTGGCTGTCGTCGGTGGAAAGGTGCGTAGGTTCTGCGACCGTACCCTTTCTGCCTCTTTTTTCCTACTTTTTCCATAATTTTTCTTTGCTTGGCAGCTTTTTTTTTCAGCGAATAGTTGGCATTTTCAGGTTGTTCTGGTGTCCGAGTTATACGCTAATCTGATGCAAAAACGAGCACGAAATCTCTCAAAAGAGGCCTTTATCATAGAAAATTTGTATATATCGAAGCATATAATACCTTATATTCCGAGCGATATTCGTTTGATACGGTAGGGCATCAATACCGTTGATACTTGTTAACTACAGTATCTTTCCGAAATTTCGGCAGACCTATGCTTAAAAGGTCGATGTAATATGTAGAAGCCTCAGATTTCCCACTTTGCGGACTTTTGGAGTTGGCGCTCCCAAAAATGAGCACTTACTGCTCAGGGTGCTAATTATTTGGTAGTGAGCGTACTCGTTGGAAGACTGGAAGCTCGGCTCTCATCAGTCTGGGTTGCGCAACGCTTCAAAGTAGGAGCATATAGAGTTCCAGGCGCTGTCCCCTTTGTAAAGGGACCTTCAAACGAAACTTGAAAGTACTCAGTGTTTGATGTTTTTTCTCATCGCTCGAATACAGCTCTCACTGTATGAGCTGTAGCCCGATCTTACGATAGTAACGGATTTTTCTGAAGTATATACCTAGTGCTTTCAATTTCTTTTCAAGTTTTTTTACAATCATAATTGATCTTTATGCTGGGCATTTTCAGATATATCGACCAACATCCAGAAGGATCGTTGTCGACGTCATCGTCATCTCTCGACTTGCAGAGTTGCCGATTCTGTCATTCACGATTCAGCTTTAATCTACAAAATCGACCTCCTCCTGAACATTAGCCATCCTTATTCAGAATATCATTGTCAAACACTGAGCAGGCTCAATTATCGTTGCGAAACGGGCGCGACACAATAGGCATGGATCGAGCGTGCGATAGCGAAACTGCCAAATAGGCTGAACTCATGTTTCGTTTATAGTTGGCGATACTTGGCGAATCCATAGAGAGAAAGCCAGCGCTGTTCACCCAACCATGTCTTGTAAATTGTCCAATGACAGCATACCCATTTTGGGGGTGAGGATGGAGAATGAGGGTGATTTTGTTGTGAATATGTTGCTCGAACATGCAAACTGAGATAATGAGATGGCGAGGAAGACCCTAGGCCGCCCTTCCCTACTTCTCAGAAATATACCTTCACAATCATTAGCACAACCAAAAAAACCCTTTCCACTTCAGCTCGTAATGTAGCCTAAAACTGAACGGGACGTGCCAGCACTTTGTGTAGCCTTGTGTTTCTCCTCATGACGCCACCTGTGCAGTACCATCAATCCTTCATCCGTTATCAATATTTTGCTCCAACTCAGGTGCTTGGCGGATTGCAAAGATAGTGGAGTACTGACTATCGCGGTCGCACCAAAATTACATGACCGTAAGAACTAGTGGCCTCCCGTGTCTCCTGCCCGACGCCCTCAATGCAAGAATGAAAATTCGCCAAACAAATCCGAGATACTACCTGTGCCGAGACAACTAGCTAGGAATTGCCGCGCCCTCCGTGCAAACTTCAACATCATTCCCTAATTGCTCGTAGCTTCTCACTGTATATCGTGAAACTGCCATCATACATATTTGTAAATTCACGCCAAAAGTCAGGGAACAAGGCGTGAATCCAAATAAACTGCCTCTTTCTGTTTGTTGTTTGATCCCCTCTTTTTACTCTGTTTATGTTGGCCTTCACAAGTCATTTTCTTCTCTTCATGTTTATGATAGAATTGATTTACAAGGTGATGTATACATTTATATAGATACTCAATGATTTGAATGCCATTTTGAACTCACACTATTGTGTTGTCTTCATAGATGTTTATTACTTAATTGTTGATTCTAGTAAAAAAAGGATATTATACAGTTGTTATGTGTTTGAAGTTGGGTTTTCTTTAAGCCTGGTCATGCTATATGATGTCTCTTACCGCCAAATGAGGCTGGAGTTGCTACATTTGCTCCTGGTCTGATCGTCGTGAGAGACCTGTAAGTGGGTGTGGTGCGTTAGGAACGAAATGGTCGCGTCGCGGTGAGAGGGGNGAACAAAAGTACTAATAGTAGAATTATGCATAAAATAATGATCGCATATCGATTGAGCTGTATGAAGAACGCTAGAGCTGTAATAACGGCAAGTGAGTGGTCCGCGACAGCCGCGTGCGGCAAATCGTTTACCCAAAATCGTTCCTAATGCCCGTCTCCCCCTGAAAGTGGCTTGGAACAGCTGATTTGTAACTCTCGTGGTCGAGAGTCCCAGCGCGTTGTATAAGTTGTAACCCTTCCCAAAAACACCTTGACTATCCAAGCTAAAGAATCAATCCTCTGCGGTTCCACCAATGTTGATACGTCCACCTTTGCATCGTAATAACTCAACGACAGTGACAGTAAACTTTGTCCTAATCCAGTCCGATATCGAACCCCTCACGAAGTCGCAGTCACAGCTGATAACTATCTGATGCTCTGATGCAGTGTGATACGGATTGCGGTGCTGATATGTACTTTCTTCCCTCCCACTACAGCGTACTGTAGCTTGAGCACGTAACCAGTCAGCGGTCCTCTGCTCCAAAGAGTTGACGAAGGTGCTTCTTTCCTGAATGGGCTTACTCTACTGTACTGAAATGACGGTCGCAATGAAAACTAAGAAGAAGAAGAATCTATGACAAAAACAGTCGCCTCCCTCAAAACGACCAACCGAAGCTCTTCCAAATGTAACTGTTGATGAAGTGCATCTTCTGTGCTATGAACATCGGTCCCACACAAATCATCATGCCGTCTTTCTCTGCCAACCAATGAGTTAGTGTCAGAAAGTATGGAATACCTACATTAAGCAGATACAAAATAGACAAAACTTTGGGCCATGATTACGATTTCCTACATTTTACCGAGAATTATATCAGTTAAAGCAAAATGAGGTCCTCAGGAAGCACCTAAAATCTTCCTATCCCTTCAACTAACCACTTTGCTTTTTTCGAAGGACTTCTAGGACTTTTTCATCTTCGCCACTAAGGCAGATGCCACTTCACCTAATAATCGTTTTTACTATATTCTGAAAACGTAGTAAGGATGAGTAAAGCAAGGCGGGTAGGGGGCGGGCATGTCTGTGGAGGCAGGCATGTCTCTGGAGGCGGGCGTTTTTATCTCTCATGGCACACGTCGCCGTGAGAGACTTAACTTCCCTTGTCATGCAATTTGAGCAAAACGATGGCAGGATTTTCACGTAATGTCGCAAATACTGTACTGACTCGCCCACTCCGAAAATGGAAAGTTGCTCGACTGGAATCGTCTCACGCACGAAGCTTTTTTCGAAGTGCTTCTTCTGAGAATTCCCAAAAGGTCCCTTTTTGACGTCTTTTTTGCCAGGAACATTATGCTAGCACTCTACCTCCCACATTTTTGAAAAGAAATGAAGGTCCAGTGGTCAATTAAATATTCAGTTCTTCCCCATCCCAGCTGCTTGCGCGGAATAACCATCTTACCTACCCCTGTGCTCCAAACTTCCTTCGGCTCAGTTGAAAAATCTATATTTCTCTATTCTATATATATTTAAAAAAACTACACTTGAACTAAATATATTTACTTTTTTCCAACATCACCGCTTTTCCAATAAATTCATTAAAAACATAAACGAGGATTGTTTAGTGCTTTAGTAAGAATTATCTTTTATCGTCACCCGATACCCCTCATATACTTAACTTTAAAATTTTGTCGAAAATGCCGAGGTGTCAATAAAAACCAGCGCTAAAAAAATCATTTGTCTTACATTCACTCTTTGAACGCAAGACATTGCTCATCCGCCTGGCGTCTGACTGTCGGCAGAGACGCAGAGGGAATTTGCTTGGAGCTCCCCAAACATCAGAAGCCATGATGTAATATGAAGACATCTACGTCCTTCTGTCTTTTTATTTTATTTAGATCTAGAGTGGTATGGTTTCTGCTGATTAAATAAAACGCTTGTTTTCTTTAAGTCGAATTGGGTAACCCTTCCCTGAACAGAAATTTCGTTTTCGTCCTGCTCATTTTTAGTAATTTGACGGGTTTCAGGAAGTAGGTGGGTAGTTGTAAGTTGGATCATACTTGCCTCAAGATTTTCTTTTCAGTACTTGGTTAGTTGCTCTATGTAATGATAACGCTCAGCAGGACCGGTTTACCCTCGAAACGATGCGCTGCTCTTATTCTTAATCACGTGAGTTAAACCATTTTCATATTATGAGGGTAATTAATCTTGAAAACGATGAAATGTCGGTTGTTTAAGTCCTCAGACTACTTCCTTTCTGTTCAGGTTGCTTCCCTTTCTATATGTCCCTCAAATATTCAAATAACGCGCTTCACGCCTATATCAACAAGATGTGAGCAACAGTTGGAGCTCTTGCTTTTTTTTCTTTCCGAACATGACTTTGATATTTTACAGCATTAGTGAAACGGAATTTTCACTCTAGTCGACCATTAAGTAAAGAAGATTATTATAAAACGCTTGGTATCAAAAAAGATGCAACAGCGAAGGAGATCAAAAAGGCCTACTTCCAGGTGAGACGTTCTTCAGGTTTATTTATATTGCTATATTATTGGAAAGTACTATTCTATGACCATTCGATGTTGAAGTGAAGTAACAGTAAATTGCCTAATAAACCACTTCAACTATACTGACAACCACTGGGCGTTGCCTGGGCGTTATTCCACAACCAAGTTAGTACAAAAACTGATTCGATCGGTGCCCCTCGGGCGACACCCACAAACCTACATTCACGGGAATCTTCGTTGTGTTTGAACTAGTATGTGTCCTAGTGCGAAAATGTCAGTAACCGATTATAACTCAAATTGGGTCAGGTTCGCATAAATTTTGTCAAAACTTCGATGCTTTTGAGAACGATAGTTCCATATTATTTCGTTTCCAGCTGGCTAAAAAATATCACCCAGATGTCAATAAAACTAAAGAAGCACAGGAAAAATTTCAAGAAATTTCCGAAGCATACGAGGTGAGAATTTTTGCTTATAACTTAACCATAGAGAATTTGGGTAAACTGCTGCGAAGGAGGTTATGCATCCTATTTCAAGCAGTATCATCATTACTTACCTTCTCAGGTATTGAGTGATGAAAATAAACGCCAAGAATACGACACGTTTGGCTCAGGCGCAGGAGCTGGAGGTCCTGGCAGAGGAGGAGGTCAGTGGCAGTATAAGGGCAATGTCGATGTTAACGAAATCTTCCGACGTGCATTTGGCTTCGGTGGGGTGAGTATTCTTGATATCCTTCTTCAATTTCCATAAAACGGGAGTACTTCTATTAGCATCGCTTTCGCTGTGTAGCAGGTGCATAAGCCTTATGTAATAAGTTCAGACTCTAACACTCTTAGACTTCTTCATTTGATGTTCTTTTTTCAACCGCCATAATGTTTTTGAACCGAACTGGTTGGGTTAAGGATGGAACATTCAACTGGGATTCGTTTGCTGACAGCCAATTTGGCCATTCACATGCTCAAGAAATGGTCATGGACCTTTCATTTGAGGAGGCTGTGCGAGGTAACGTGTGTTCTTATTGTATGTTCAAACAACTGAGTTCTACAGATCAAAAAATATCATAGATTATACAGATCAGTTTGGATGCTTGAGTCATGCTTCTCATGTAATTTGTTGAGCCTCGAAAATCTGATATTCGCTAGTGAGGGGCATGACTATGAGAATTCTTTTTTTTTTATAATTTACTAGCTTATAAACTCCCCCAAGCGTTCAATACCTATCAATATTCCTACTATGCCTAGAATGAGTCAGTTTGCAGAAGTTAGGCTGACTTAGCAGCATTTTGTTGTTTTTGTAGTGTACCAAATTTTCCAAATTTTTGAAAAAGTAATTCTTCCAGGAACGCAGAAAAATATTTTCGTAAACGTGGTGGAAGACTGTCCTAGATGTCGAGGGACCCAAGTGGAGCCGGGTTTCAAGAAGGTATTTTACGTCAATCTTCTTCAGTTTTAGAAATAAGAATCGCGTGTGTTCACTTCACCTAATTAGTGCATGTACTTCTCTTCCGTTCTTTAGCTGTAAGGCAAAGCATACAGTTTTGCCAGATATTGCCCGCATACTCCCGCTCCTATTCTTTTCTTATTATCCTCAAAATATATTTTTGGGCACTTTTATGTAAAGAAAATAGTAGGTCTCGCTGGTAGCCCTCCCATATTTCATGGTGTCGAAACATCTTATATTGCGCAATTCAAAAACTCACTGGAAAGGAAGAATTGGAAACGAACAATTCCCGACTAAGTATTAGCTTGATAGTAGGAGCTATCCCCTAATAGTTCATGAAAACAGCAATCATTTCTTAGCAGAACTCTAACTGTGGATTTTCTCAGGTTTCATGTCCATATTGCAATGGTACTGGAATGATAACGCAACGACTGCAAGGGGGTTTCTTCTATCAAGCATCTTGTAATCGTTGTGGCGGTTCTGGTCATTATAACAAGGTTTGCAAACTTCAATCAACTTCCATTTAATCATGATAACCCCTTCTAATTGGAATTTAGAATCCCTGTCAAGAGTGCGAAGGCCATGGGCAGAGTGTTCAGCGAAGGCAAGTTTCGTTCAACGTTCCGGCTGGTACCAATGACAAGGACCGCGTGCGGTTCCAAGTTGGAAAGGTTTGGAGGCTTAACATTTTCACAATTTCTAGATAATGTCTCCTGTGTACACGATGGGGATCAGTGGGTTTATGTCGTATATTATTGTTGTATTATACTCTATCACGAAAACCAATTGCGTCATTCATATCACTAGCGGTTGAACTGATAGAAAGCGTTATTGGGGGCTAAGCATACCTGATGGGTGCATGGTAGATTGTTTAGGCTCGTTCAGCTTTGGGCATTCCGTTCTGGGTGTTTTTCATGATAAGTGGTAGAACAATCAGTTCGTGTCGAGCATGAATCTTCTTTCAGAATCAAATCTATATGATGTTCAACGTAGCTCCTTCACTGAAATTCCGACGCGATAAAGACGACATTCACTGCGATGTAGAAATTTCTATTGCCCAAGCTGTACTTGGTGGCACAGTGAAGGTTCCGGGTATTATGGAAGATACCTACGTTCATGTGCCTCCCGGAACATCAAGTCATACCAAGATGAGGTAATTTTCTAGCAAGTCAAATTCAGTTAATGTCCACCAAACTGAAACCCGGAATGAATTTCTAGGCTCACTGGTAAAGGAGTGAAACGGTTGCATTCAGCTGGTTATGGTGATCAATATATTCACATCAAAGTTGCTGTACCTAGGTAATGAATTACAATTTTCCTTCTCTTGTTGTTCTTGTTTTCATGAGTGCTTCAATAATTTGTTGGTCGTTTTGTAGTTACTTGAGTGCTGAACAAAGAGCGTTGATGCTTGCATGGGCTGCTACTGACAAGCCGAAAAGTGGTACAGTGAAAGGTTTTGATGATTCCAGTGAGTACTTATTTCACCTCTTTCCATAAATTGAGTTATTACTTCGCAGTTTTTTTCTCCATAATTTGGCCCCCAACATTATACCTACACATTATTTTGATGATGAAATTGAACTAAAGCCTTCTATATTGTTTTTCAGTATGATTTTTCTGCTTGAATGATTCAGTAGCTGTAGGTATGCTTCGAAAAGTACAGCTACTATTACATGGTTATGCTGATTTTGGGAATTCTAACCGTGCGAGTGTTCGTAATCGATGACATCGGGAGATTGGAATAATGAAAAATATTCACCAATCCTGGTGAAAAGTTGGAGGGTACGGAGTTGCTTTAGACATGACGTGGTGCTTTGACGAGGGCGTAGATGGTGGCATGGAGTGACCTCCGGTACAGGACAATCAACTTCAAGCTTTCGAAAGAATCTTCCCCTGGTTCGGGCGCGGTTATTTGATCTAGGCAGGGAGTTTTCTGTGATTTCGTCAATCAAACTTATCTGATGTTTTTTTTTGTTTTCCATGCTTAACCCATTTCGTAATGATTAATCTAATTTATAATATATAAATAATTTCTATCACTGTACAAGCTGGCCTTCTTGCTTTTTTTTAAACAACTTAGTTGCACTTCGTTAAAAAATTCATATTAGGTGCAAAATCTTCAACACAGTCAAAAAATCAAGAAGGCTCAAAATCAGGAGCAAACACAACCACGGACCGCGAATCACCCAGGGGTGAGTCTGATGCTCCAGGATCTGTTGATGGGGACACAGGTTTCTTAGGAAAGCTCAAGAAAACGATATTCGGAAAGTAGTAAGGTGTGCATGGCGCTGCGATGTCAAAATAGAGATTTTATTATGGTTTTTATGCTTTTGTTCAGGTGGCTATGTGCATGATTCGAAGGGTGAGGCGAAACAAGAAGACACCGAATCTAGCAAGGAGCGGAAAAGCAAACAATCTGCTTCTTCTTGACATCATCTCAGTGTTCCTGCAGTCTAAAGCTAAACCCCTTCAAACGCCTAACTTGTCATGCCCGATGGTCATCTTGTGTTTTCTCCCTGATGATGTTGTTATTGTTAGGTCATCAATAGGAAATACTTGATGTTTAATAGAATTGCAAATTATCTAGAGCTGAGTAGATTTTATCCTGTTTGCCGTTACTGTCGGATGTTGAATGCGAGAATGTAAAGTGCACATAAAACTGGTCAACTAGAGTTTTTGGTAAAATTATCGAAGCGTAACGCGTGACCCTACAGTGGTACTTCGCATGATTCGGCTTCTTTCAATGAAATTTATCCGGAACCGCTGGATGACAGATACTAGATATTTGGAATAACCATGGATGTTCCATCAACATCTCGTAGCGGTCATGATGGCCTGGACGACGGAGCGTTTTCGATTTATAATGAAATGGTAAGAATTCTCACCTCACACTGCATTACTAAAGCGTTTGTTTATTTTTGTTGGGTAAAGCTAGTCTGGTTCTCATCAAGCGTGAATGAAGCGCTCAGAATGAAAAAGTCCCTGATCGTATTTTGTGGAGCATTTCGAAAAATTGAAGAGGGGTAGATCTGCATTACTATGCGAAAAGATTCATCTGGCCCAGAAAGTGAAGATAGGTCACTTAGTGAGATGCATTTATCGGAACTCTTCTCTATAAGGAACGTTGGGTTTTGGCGAATACTAATGAATTTATGGTTCATTATGTCGGGTATTCGAAGACTTCCTGACAAAGGTTAGATATTTATTGATCCACTTATTCTGCACCTTATAACCTCCAATCTGCATTCTCTCTTCGTACATCTGGTCCTTGCGGCGAGTTCTTATCTCTCAGTTTCGTATAGATAAGATATATGTAAGCATTTCTAATTCTTCTAATCTCCATCGTCTTCTTGAGTATTTTTTAACCACATACTCATTGGATTGATTGCTCATATATGACCCTTCAAATTTCTCTTAGTGTGCAGTTGAAGTCGAAAAGTATAGGGATGAGATCGTGTGATACTGATGATCGAACCTTTTGAATTTTTCTTCAGCGGAAATCTGCTATTACAGGCGACATTAGAAAGCGCCCTGGAGTTCAATGAAGACACTTCGGATCCGTACGCTGAGCTCCTTGGGCTTGTCGATGCTCAAGTGGAGTTTTGTGACCAGTTGTTGGATATAATTGCAAAAAAGCGGAAGCAACTTGCGGAGAAAAAGGTTTGGTCACAAACTTCTATCAGTGGGTAACTAATTTCTGAAGAAGGGTAATAATGAAAACTGGAACATTAGGCACGAAATCCTTGGAAAACTGGAACTTTTTTCTTTTGCTTCTTGATCATTTGAAGTTTTTGAGCAGGGACCGTCCAAATGTTTAAACTTGTTTGGAATTCACTTTCATGTAGTCATATCGATCTGCTCACGATGCATCATATAGATCACTCTACATCAATTGAATCTAGTCAATCTCCGGCTTAGATATCTTTCTATTGAATGGTAATATCTCTAGGCATGGCTAGAAAAGAAGTTGGATCATGAACGTGGATTAGATCATCTTGCGAGAAACAAAGTCCCAGTGATTCAGTACCTTCCTCCCTATTTCAAGGACGAGAATATGATGGTAACCTTTTCTAATGACTTTTCAGTTCAATCTTTCTGATAGTTATTTGAGAAAATGTCACAGATTTTTCTCTTAACCCACTGTATCGTTCAGTGCCCACCGCAGAACGAGGAGGCAAAACACAAACTTCAGTACACCACTTTCGATCCGTTAACAAAAGAAGATAAGAAATGTATGTTGTACAGTGACTATTATGAGTTTCCAAAGTTGCTTATGCATAGGAAAATGAGAGAAGCTCTGTTTTGGAAGTTTTCCAACATGCGCTCCTTCTTAAGAAGTTCATTTTGTGACAATCTCTAGAGCATCTATGTATGGCTTTCGTCTCGATTTATTGAAGGCCATAGGCGGGCGGTTTCATTTTTCATTTCTTTCTTCATTACCTGAAATATAATTTTTTGCGGCTGAAGCGGAAGGCATTTTTGCCATTTACTGCTATACTGTTGGTTCCTTTTGAATACGGTGGATGGTAATTGTCTAAATGGGTTTTGCTTGCAGTAGTTAAATCTAGGAAGTAAATTTTAGAGGCTAATTTGCACTATGGCGAAATGTTTCATTGCAGGGTCACCAGCTGAACTTCGTCTTTTAAGAGAGGCTGTTAAGAACTCTGTCATTCAAGCCGGTATTCAGAAATTCGTGGATAGGTTCATCTTTACACCTCTTTTCTCATGCAATTGTTTCATTTGTGTTTGTAATCCTTATTATGTCTGAACAAGACCTGGTGAACGATGTTAGTGTCTTGGTGTCGAGGTAGCCCAAATGAATGAGGAAGAATGGTTGATTGTTTTCTTTTTAGGAAGGACATACTACGATCTAAACTCCAGCGCGCCGGTGTCGACTCTGATCCCGAAGAGGTTCAGGCTTGGAAGGATGAAATAGAATTGTTAGACCGCAAGATCAAACATTCACGTGATGGTCAGGTGGACTCGTCCCAGGTCGATCTTGTGGACTACTCGTGTGTGGATTGGCTGAAAATTTCAACTGTCGAGGTATTGTAAATGTATACTCAAAACATTCCTTTGAAAAATAAGCATAGCAATTACGTCCCTTCGTCGCTTTTGCTTTGTCTTTTAAGTTTCAAATGTTTTACGGAATTTCTAACTGTCGAGTTATCGCACTTGGTTTCGGTGTTACCTGGAATTCTCTTCAGAGACTATAAGGGTAGTTTACTCTTCGACTCTTTCTTTCGCATGCCGCCCTATTTTGGCTCATTGATTAAGAACTGGTCGTATAGAGATTCAATTACTCTGTGTTCAGTTCAAAGGATCTCGGTCAGCAGCCGCTCTTCGTTATAAATGGTTAAATGAGCAGTGTCCTCGATGGAATAGCGGCCCATGGACGAAGGAGGAGTTGGCAAAGCTCAAGCAGCTCCGAGAAGATGTAGGTTCGATCACGTTTATCATCCATGCCACATGATCTCAATTGATTCTCTTCGTAGGTCCTTTGGAAAATATCAGAAAAGGTTTTGTGATGTGAACACCTCCACACGCTGATGATAGGAGAAGTTTACTGATGAAGCACTTCTTCTATTACAGTAATGCCATCGAACTATATGCTTTACTAACCAGTGAGCATCCGTTCGAACGCATATTTTCTTCACACCACTTTATTGGACGGGGGTAGGATAGACTGCGCATAATGTGGTGATCAATTCCATCCAGGCCAATCAGCTCCTTCACTTTTCTGGAAACAGTTGATTGATGACGCACTCAGGAGATCAGAAAGGCTAACTTGATCATTGGTCATCTTTTGCTAGGCCCGTAAGGCATCCAAACGCGATTACGCTCTGGATGATAATCAAATTTGAAATGCATTCCCTTAATGTAATGCTATTCCCGATCACCTTCGATCACCACCTTGAGAGACCTTCGTCTTTCATCATCTGCTTGGTTATTGTTCATATCCTCAAGTTAGGAATGAATTCTTCTTCAACGAGTCTCCAGAGCTTTCTTTTGCTTTCATCTTTTTCTACGGCTCTCAGTACCCGCGCATTTTTGAACTCTGACTAAAATCTTGGAACCTGTCTTTAATCGAGTCCTACGTTCAGCCATCGTTCACATCGTGGGCGGCAGTTGCCAAGAAGTTGCAAACCCAACGATCCCCTTACCAATGTTTCGAGAAATACAGAAGCGATATGTATAGAGTCTCAAAGTGAGTATGCTGTCGCTTTTGTCATTAGAAATTCGATGACGATTTTGACGAAAACTGCCGGTATTAAGAGACTGGACCAAAGAAGAAGATGATCGTTTGATTGCTCTCGTGAAAGTCATGACGGTGAATGGCGTTGTTCAGTGGGACAAAGGTGACTCATCAAAAATATCTATTTGTAAAAGTATGTGAATAAAGTTTTAGTGACTTTCTACATGCCTGGGCGTCACCGACAGCAGGTTCGGACAAGATATCAACGCACCTTAGACGAGAATGTTCGCCACGGGCGTTGGACGGATCATGAAGATTTGGTTAGTTTAGTGTAATCTTATGAAATTTCGGACCGTTCAAGGTTCCGTGCCAAACTTTGATCTCCTCCGTTCTGCTTATTTCATTTTTTGCTTTTTCTTACACGTTTGCCAAGTTCCAAAATTGCAAAGCTGCAGCCCTGCAGTATTTCGTTTCGTGCTTTTTTCTTACGTTTCCTTATCAAAACATATGTGTATTCATTTAAAAACACATTTCCTCTTTGAATATTGCATCTCTGCTATATCACTCTTCCCTTTTTCAGCTCCTTATGACCGCTGTCGCTCGGTTCGGTGCTAAGGACTGGGCGAAGGTGGCGAAAGCTGTCGTAGGACGATCCGATGGCCAGTGTAGAGAGCGGTTTGTTGCAATTCTATAGGTTCCAACCTCAGTGAGACTTCACAGTTTGTTTGCAGGTGGTGTAATGTGTTGGAAAAGTGTGCATATAATGCCAATGATTGGAGTCCTGAAGAAGACGAACGACTGGTTTTGGGCGTTCAAGTTTTTGGAAGAGGTATGTTTTCCACAGTATTCCAGATTTCTCCTTGAATTCACTAGAAGCTCCCATAGTGGTTCTATGTAAGGAGACAATCCACATACGCATAAATGTACTATACGTATACGCATATCAGGTCACCATTTCCTTTCGCAACTAACCATATAATGACCGAACAGCTTACTTACATATATCCAGCACGCACTTTTTCATTAGTTCGAATCCCGCTACTGAAACCCTTTGAAACTTGGGTGGATCGTTCAGCCTTGTAGCTCCTTCAGAGAGATTCTGAGCTGGCCTCGTTTGGCTGCTTTCAAACCTCAACGTTTCATCCGTCCGTCCGTCCGACGCGTGTGTGCTGCGAGGCGGCGCCTAACCGTTGTTGACAACACTGGATCACGTGCCGGCGCTGTCAGCACTACTCCAGCGACCGCCGTCGCAGCACGCACGCGTTGGGCGGACGGTCGTCGAAGTCTGAAAGCGGCCTTTCGACGCTGGAGCAAAAGGTCGAAGGTGAAACCCTATCTGGTTGTGTATAAGATATTTACGCACAACCTAAAGTTATGAATACGGCGTGGGTTTATCACGCTGTTCTGTACGGGAACTGGAAAGTAAAGGTTGGGAGGCTGTGATATTTCTATTCAAATCGTCAGGTGGCTGATTTTATAGGAATGCCTATAAAATCCAATCGCTATCGAGAACAGTCAAAATAAATAAAGTGTAAATTAAGGACAGTGGGCTAAAATTGCCGAAATCCTCCCACGACATACTCCGGCAAGCATTCACGACCGATATCACTCTTTGTTATCAGCGAAAATGAGGGTAAGTGAAACATTATCTTGAGCTAGTAGAAGGGAGGTGGGTCGTGTTGCTTGACTTATCTTGTTCATTGAAAAAAGTAGTTAATAACTTCGGGAGTCGCTTCAAAGCCAAACATCCAGCTTCTTCTGAAAAACGAAGTCGCGCCTAACGTGTCGACTTTACCCAGGATTTACTCATTGATTTGACTTTTTAAGTTGTTTTCTGCTGCATACTGTTTACGGACTTCTTGTCAAATTTTTATTTCTTTAGCTTTGCTCTGCGAGGCTCATCGGGTATCCGACAGAATATAGGTCCGCAGTCCAAACATCTGTGCACAAAGCAAGACGAGATGTGGTACGATTCCATGTGTTTTTTTTTCTTCTATTGAATATGAATTGACATAAAGTAAACATAGGGTTTGTATGAAAAAAGAATCTCGGAAAATCACAATTATTAGTTTGTAATAAATTAGTAGGGGCTCAAGCGGGGGCGGCCGTCTTTGTGAGTGGGTAATGATGCTCTCATAGCAAGGTTGCTAGCACGCTACCGCTAATAATTTTGTAAGGAAATGGTTCAGCGATAAATTAAATGTTCCTTTCACGTCCAGTTTTTTACACGGAAGAACCATGTTAGCCACCCAAGTGCCCCTCTCTTTCTACAGCTTAGGTGAAAGAATTATATTTACCCGGGTAAAACATGTCTCGAAGCACCAGTAGGGCCCGCAGANNNNCCCCCCCCCCCCCCCCCCCGTTGGCTATGTACCAGCAAAGCTTTGAGAATTGTAAACAGTCAACAAGCAAAAGATAACAAATATTCAACAGGGCACTTCGATAGTAACTGCGTTTTTGTGTATATGCGTAAATACGGAGATTGGTGCGTTTCCAAGCAGAATAGCGCGTTTCAAAGCACATATCTGCGTAAAATGCGGTATTCTCATCATGGTAACGGCCGCTAAACCACTGCAACGTGGTGAGCTAGTTCGGGTACAAAGTGCGCTAGCCTTATCTTATAAAGCAGGAGAACAAAAAAGTTAGTAACCGTTAGACCCTAATTTTTAATCTGCAACCCTTCAGGAGGCTTCACTCACAAATCAGCTTTTTTATGCTTCCAAAGTTTCGATAATTTTTGACCTGCGGAGCGCGCTCTATGAGCAGGAGATGGCGGAATTTCAATACCTGTCGTCCCATGATCAATAAATCGATCAGCTGTGTCGTGACCGGGAAAGACCAAATGTCCCAGTGTAGCTGTTCTTGTAAGAGCGGGTGGCTGATTTGTGCGATTCGAGCTGCGCGCGACAAGTACGCGGCAAAATTCGTGGCGTTTGGGACGACTTTGGCGCCTATTATTGGGGCACAAACTTGAAGTAGGGTAGATTAGTATGGCCAGGTGACCCTCCTAATAATAGGCGCTGCCGCGCGATTTGCCGCGCGCAGCTCAAACCACACGAATGTACCGTCTCATTTACGCGCCAACGAAGGGTCCTCAATCGATCGCGCGCAGTGGCGCGCGCGAAGGGGAAGGTTTGAATTTACAGTGGAAAGATATGGTAGTCATTGCGGGAAGGCTGCTGCTTGCTGGGGGAATTCCTGTACAAATACAGCCACCCGGCAATGAAGCATACCCTTACATCATGCGTACGTAAGCGAAGCTCAGCGGTCAGTAAATTATATCTTGACAATCAATAGGACCGAAAACTCAAAAACCTTGATCAACGTGTCATCTGGATTATTAAACTATCATATTTGTTATTGTGAAAGTTTCAGTTACGTCAGCAGCTTACTGAAGATGAGCTGAAAGCACAATGTTACCGTGCCGCAAAGGAGCAGGCTGAGAAGGTCCGCGCAGAAACGCCAAGAGCGAAGGTATTAATTACCTCGTGGAGGCCATGTGACTTCTCCCTATAAACTTTAGTTCACAAGCCTTCCTGGCAAATTTATAGGCTGTGTAGATTTAGGAAGAGAGAGGAAGTAGTTAAGATTCGATGATGGAGTTGAAGGGGGAGTTGAAGGTGCCGTCCCTCTATTTCAACAAACCAGAAATCGGTGATGTAGATTGGCTTCACTGATTTGTGGGCTCCGTCGCCCGAACTGGAATCACCCAGCTGTAATTGTAAGATCGAGTAGCTCTCTTTCACATCGTATTCTGGCCGTCTTCTCCCCTCGAGGTCCATAGAACATTACATAGAGAGGGTTCTTCTCTGACCATTATTGTTTCCTCGTAGTCAATTTGGTCTTTCTCTCTTTACTGTCATTGACCATTCCTTTGCCATTTTTTTNTTTTTTTTCATTCTTTTGGGAACGAGGGGATTTAGTTCTGAGGCAACCAAGTGCCGTTTTTTATAGTATTTTACAAGCGCCAAGTTATAATAGTTTGTAAACGTTTTTTGGTCCACCGCCTACTCTTAGCCCAGCATGGGCTAAAGGTGCATGCGATATCTTACAGACGCTGCAAGCAGGGTAATTAACAATAAATTAGTGTTGTCTCGTAAGTCAGCTCGTTCTTTTTCGAACATAGCTGGCTTCCCCATTCGTCTCCGCAAAGTTTTAGATTATGCAGTGGCTGCTTTCATAGTCCGCGAGCGAGCGCGCGACCCGGCCGGCGGACTACTCGTCCGGCGGTGTCGACCAACATTCAGTTGCAAACAAGGGGCAAGCGCCGCCCCTGGTCACTCGCGCGCTCGCGGGCCGGGGGCGGTCTGTGAAGGCAGCCAGTGGGTCCTACCTGAATGAGAGACACGGAAGGCTCCGAGTCATGTTCTTAAGTGTCTAATGTTCGCTACGAAATCCCATCCATGAAAGTTCTCGCTTTCGTCAGTTTGGTTTCTTTTTCCTGAGATTATTACGAGATAGTTAACATAAATTCAGAAATGGCAAAATAAAACACTGACAGAAGAAGAAAAGGCAACGATTGAGAAAGGAATTGAGGTAGGATTCATGACTTTTCTGCTTCTGAAAAGAGCTCCTACAAAGTCTCTCCACGAAACCTGTTTTCCTTCTGTTTAGGAGATCGCTGAAAAATTTAGAAACGGTGAGAGTGCTCCGGATGTTAAAGAGCTGTTCAAGAAAATCCATCTGACAGATAAGTGAGAGCGATTGTCTCCTTTCTAAATCTTTACGTACAAAGGGTAGACCAAGTGTCAAGATATAGCCATTTGTTTGTAGAGATAACCACATGTCAAGGTATAACCATTGATTTGTAGGGAGATATCCGCTATAATCGCGGCAGCAAAGCGAAGGAATGTGAACAACTTCAATTCTGTAAGGAAATATCCACGTACAGGGAAAGCCGTTAGTGTTTTTGTTGTGGTGATAGTTTTTCTATGATGTTTATTTAAGTTTCAGCCCGTGAAAAAGATCAAGAAAAATATTTATCTACAACCGGACTCTGTTTATGAAAGAGCAGACTTCGAACCGTACGAGACTGAGGTTTGCAAGATTGCTTTTTGATTTATGGAAAGCCATCACGTCAGTAGGATGTCACCATGCAATGTGCTCACCAATGCTTATTTTTGATGCATAAGCAGTTTGATACTTCGTTCATATTATCGTTTCATACGCAACTGAAATTACTTGTAAACTAATATATTTATTGTAGATCAAACATGCTCTCCAGTGTCTTCAAGCTTTTTAGGATGAACGTATCATGATCATGACGGAATCTTTGTGCCATGCAGTCCGTAAGTACGATCATTATGAATGGTGCAACCGATATACTGAAGATCGCATACGGCCTGAAAGTGTTGCTGCGACCTTTGCATCAAATGTGAGCTCGCTTCCATTTGATATTCCAAGCAATCCTTAGATTTAACATCTGTCCCAGAGGTAGCTCCTAAGCTCTCAGCAGTAAGTTTGCTTTTTAAAGCGAAATATGACTTTAGAACTGAACAGTCTGGCTAGTAAGAGTTGGCAGGGAAACCAGCCACACTGGTCACAAGCCGCCTAGCGTAACTGGGCAGGCCGTGCTGTTTCTCAGCATCCGCTTGATTTTATATCTCTTTGGCGATTTTCAACACTAACCGATGTGTTCATGGATGGTTGAATTTCACTCTGTTTAGAGTATATTCACATGCTTCTGTTTAGAGTATATTCCCATGCTTATATATTCTTTTCTCTGTCAGTTCTTATTCTACTATCTTGGCATATCCCAGTCACTCGATTTTCAGCCCGTGAAGGCTTCAAGTAAGCCTAATTAACTTGGCCAGAGGGTATTAATGTTTTTATTATTATGAAGCTCCGTCCAGATTCCATTTGGCCAGCATACCATTCTACTACATTTGTTGCGACGGTGATTTTTCATTGACACTACAGTGCTACCTATTTCAGCTATTAAATGTAAGATGTGTGGACGTAGCAGCTAGATTGAGGCATTGTGAACAGTTTCCAATAGATCTAACACTTCCTCCAACTTTTTCTACAGCTTCGGCTTATCGAGTATTCGAGGTAATACATTTATAGTTTCTGATTGATTATTTTTTGAATACTAGCTATTTGCTGTTAAAACTAATCAATATTCAGAGTTCTCGTGTTTCTCTGAGTAAGAGGGCATCGGTGTATTTTAACCCTAGCGATGTTAATTCAACGGACTTCATGATACTCTATCCTGAAGGTGATATTGTTCGGAAGTTCACGGTGAGTAAGATTTTGTTTATTGCTTCACTCTACCTAATAGAAGGCATAGCTTATTATCCTGTCTTTTTGGCAAGGATGTGGGCCGCTTGGCGAGGTCAAATATTCCGCCTGTAGTGGCATAATCCAACGTTAGGGGAAGGGTAAACAAACTTTACCCTGTAATAACCCTTAGAGAACGGTTTTTATTCTTTTGACAGTGTCATCAATTGTGTGAATAACCTCGCATTATTAGGTTCATGATCGACTCAACATTCAACTTCATTCAGATATTCTGTTGGATCTCAATTACCTCAAATTAAAGGTGAGTCTAGTGGTTCTTGAACATGACTTTTTTCAGAAAAGAATTGTTTGTTTCAGCTTAAAAGAGCTTTTTTAGTTCTGTTTATTTCATTTTCACATGCATCTATATGTTACTGTTGCAGACACAAGTACGAGCGGTTTTCTTAGAACCTACTCGGCTCGCCATGGCTATAGAATCGCCGGAAGCGGAAGAACAGAGAAACAAGGTGATATACCAAGAAATCCAAACTCGATTTCCTCTGTATGTGGTTGAGGAACGCCGCAGGCGTCGGAAGCATGTCAACATCGTACCTAACGATAGGAATAAATACGCTTAGAGCCTATTTTACTCAAGCAACTCGTCTTCTTGCTACAACAACGCCTTTTCAACAGCAGCTGCTCAGTGACTAGGATGGAAGATTTAAGATGATATGCTCTCGTGTTTATATGCGATTCGATCTGAAGAGCAGCAATCAATGTAGTTCTAATGAAGTTTAATAGCTATTAGAGTAGCTTCTGATGACTTCATAAATAAATGGAAATAGAACGTCTCCTCTTTCGTTTTGGTCTTAAACTCTGCAAAGGTGAGGTCGGTTTCACCGAATACGGTTCTCCCATATTGTCTTCATCCCTAGCAGCTTTTAGTATTACGTGGAGTCGCGCTGATGAACAACTAATTGGGCATTCCTTTCCGTTCACCATGATATATACGCTTGAATGAGATAGCATTAGATTGAGCATTAGACGAGTAATGAGTGTGGTATCACTCATCCAATGTTGAACAAGATTCGTAGTTGGCGCAAGTCTTTCGCTTTTGTCTTCTGTTGCCTCACTCACTGATCTATTTTCAGGTCCAAATGGAACTCATGGGAACAATTATGGCAGAACATGAAGCGTCTCAAACTGAGGCCATGGTGAGTATTTTTGCTCCGATCACCTTCACTTGTCACCGAGCTTTTTCATAAGACAAAACGTGTACCTTCAGTTGGACTACGTTGCAAGTGAAGTGGTGGTTGAAAACACTCAAGAAAATGAGCCAATCTTTTACGAAGATGCTGTAGATGATGCCCTCAATGCAACAATTCATACGGTAACATTTTTTTGTACGACAATAATGTGGTTTTCCTTGTAAATTCTACATAACTGTTTTACCTGATGATCAGAGTTGAAGTATTGGCAGTAGAGTGAAATTAGAGCCACAAATTCAAAATTGAAGGTCAAGCATCTTAGCAAACAAAAACAGCCAAATTAAGAAAATGAATTAGTGTATACTAGTGTCTCAATAATTTCTCATTTTCTTCCCACAGGAATAAATTGTATCGACGCTGGATTCTTCTTCCAGGTAATGGACAAAATCCGTAGCGACGAACCAGTGAAGAAAAAACGTGGAAGAAGAACAAATAGGGATCGATGGCTTGCCGAGTACCTAGCCCTAGAGCAAGGATTAGATGAGCCTGTAAAGAAAAGACACTTGCCGCCGCGTAGGGCCAGAAATGATCCACTCGCACCTGATCTCGTCGCTGCACGCTCTTCCGATGACGACGACGAACTAGAAATAGACGTAGTGGGCTCATCGTCAACCGACGCTCATGTAAGTTAAGATAAAGACGTTCGATTTGTGCCTTTTCGATTATGAGCCGTTCTTTCTATTGAATGGTATTGTGTTTTTTTGATAAGTTCATCATGTTGCAAGAACAGTGAAATATTTCTTGGTGTGTGGTTAGATACTATATAACCAGGTTCGCGGTTCCGACTAACCCTATTCTTCTTGATTTCTTTGTGAACCGCTGGCCAATTGACTTTGCTCTTGAACTCTTTCCCTTTCCAACACTAGTTCACTATCTCTTACTTTCCGAAATTATGTGTAACATGGCCCAAACAGAAAAAGGCTTGGATTCCTATCGCAATGCAACGGACAGGCCAACACATCTTTTCTCTTTATCACCGCTTCACTTTTTTTTTGATATCAACTCGTGCCAATAGACAAGTAATCTCATTTCTTTACCCCGAGAACAGCTAATTAGAGTCTGTTGCAAAAATGTTTTGTAATCGAATGTTTTCTTTTTTGATAACTTGATTAAATGGTTAGAGGAATATAATGAAGTTCTTTCACAAGAAGTAACGACCATGTATTATTCGTTCATTTCAGATTGGTGACGCAGTCAGCCCTTCGATAGAGGCGGGACTCGAATGCGCGAGTACCACTGCTGAGAGAGATATTCAGGAATCCGAGACGCTGTTAGAGGTGAGTACCTTGAACTGAAATAAAGGTTTTCTTGCTTCCCTCAGTTTTTGCTGCTCTTTTCAATAGTTCTTCGCTATCATTTGTGTTGATTTTTTCTGTCAAAGTACTGTGTATTGATATGTTATAGCTTTGAAGAATTTCATTTATTTGATTGGTTCAAGGCCAAAGCCGAACCCGTTAAAAGAAAACGAGGAAGACCGAGGAAGTATGAAGCACCGCCTACTTCTAAGGAGAACCAGGAAAAGTCAGGGGCGAAGAAGAGGAAAAGTGTTCATGAAGTCTCCGACGAGGGCGAGGAAGAGCTTTGAAAGAATTTAGCATATGCCGGTAATCGGTGTTGTAAAGAGTATATTTTCTCTTTGATTTGTAAACGACTTTAGCTCCGGGTGATTTCTTTTCCCACTTATGTCCTTATGAATTCTCAGTGAAGAAGCTTTCTTTTTTAGTCGGTATTTCGCAAGAGTTTTTGGTAATACGTTTTGTTTTGAAATGTTTCCATGTTTTTGTAGATCTACAGCCTTGAAAACATTGTTCAATGGAAGAGAATAAACTTTGTTTAATGATTGATTTTCTTATTGAACCACTTGATTTCGAGAAGTCTGCTATCTATGACTCATGTATTGTACAGATTGACTCAACTTGGAAAATAATTCGGACCTTTCCTGTTTGTATTCGGTTACCAATGTCGTTTATGCGTTATGTGTCAATCAGGCTCTGGTTTTTTTTTNTTTTTTTTTGGTTCCCATCGTTTCTAACTTTTGGATAGTGAGGCGCACTCTCGAAATTGGTCAAGGGTTTGTATTGGGTCACTATGGACATAAAGAACCTCGTTTGAGTTTCTAAGTTGTACATGAAAAAGGTGCAAAAGGTATAGGAAGAAAAGTGGCCGTATAGCAGGGGTGTTCTAAAATTGATCTCCGGATCGCACATTGGGTAGCGCTAACCCATCCCCGGTTAGACCAAAAAAGATGGACGAATAGGCAAGGTTTTTCCCAAGGGGCAACATCACTCTAAGGCCTTGTATGTTTGGCCGTTACCAAAGTGCTTCTATAATCAAACATATTGCTCCAATTTGGGGCACCCTTGGCAAGAAGAGCCGAAAGAACTTCTTTTAATGACTATTACTGTGATTGCGAGTGTATCTAATTTCACATTACACTTAAATTCAAATTCGCTACCATCTTTTTACTCACTTAAATTAAGTCGTTCAAATTGTAATAGTCTGCAGATTACTGAATCAACGTCCAGCTACATAAAACTTCCCCTGCAGTTCTTTTCTTTCTCTTAACCCAGAAAGCTAATTTCCCTTGCACGGAATTGCCTGGCTTGGATTCCCCGCTAAGTTCCGGTTTTCACTTTCTATGTCCAATTTTTTTTCAAAAGCTGCACTTTTTCGACATGTGTTCCTGTGTTTTTTCATTACGTTTAAATTTTTCTGGTTGCTCTGGTCTCCGTATGTTTACTGTATTCATTACTTCTAACTACTAGAGCGGAGTCTGCGCAAACTCATACTTTCCTACTTAGGTGTTCAAGATGCTCAAAAATGGGGATTGGTTGAGTTACTAGTTACAAAGAAGAGGGCTCTCGTAAGATTCTCTTCTAAGACTTGGATAATACCTCGTTCAGTAGGGTTTAAAATGTAACACTGATCAGGGATGGGAGACGACTGCCGCATTACTGCCTGTATGAAGTCTCGTGATTTCAGATTGATTAGTCAAGGAAAAGGGTGTTGTTGTAGTTACAACACTTACTTCAGTCATTCTGATGTTGGTCTTCCGTTTTATTCATCCTTAGTGTATGTGAACTCCTTTTTCTATGTACAAACAGAAAAAACAAAAAGTTCTAAAACTTTCCATGCGTACATTTTTGAGATGTTGAAAGGAGCATTTCCTGTTCTTGAAAAGGTCTCCCTGTTAAATGCTTCTTCTCGTCGTCATTCACATTTTCGATTTCAAGTTTTCAGGCCTTTTCAGATGTTGACCTTCAATGACAATAAAGCCGGCATGGCCGGTTTAGATAAAGAACGAATAAGCAAGATAATCGAGTCGAACACAAGTGGTAACTACTCGAATTTCTCGAAGAAGCAGCAGGATCGTATCAATGAGAAGACTGAGTCAATCAAAAAGCGCTTGCAGGCAGTATCTCCGGTGGAATGGTCCAGAGCTGAGAAGGAGGTAATTATAAGGGTTCTGTTGCAGTCAAAATTATAGCGGAATTTTTGCAGTATAACGAAACAAATTTTGAATTGTCAGCCTCTACCACCAATTCCTCACAGTATCCGAAATACATGTTGTTTTTATGATGTGGGTATCTTCAATAAAATCATTATCCATCTCCTCCCATCATTATCTCCACAGATTCTTCGTATATTAAGAAAATTCTGAATCCACTGAAAGTTCCTAAATTTCCTCCCATGGGCTCTTTGGAATAGGTTTCTCTTATATTACTATTTTTTGCCTTCAAGTTGAGTTATAAATTTTCATTTCAGTTATCAAAGGTAACCATCTGGAAGGACAACAGCGGGGCATCTGCTCTGCCGGGTAAAAAGGATATTCAAAATACGCTAAAATATAAAGAACAGAAAATTAAAGTCAGGATGGAGATAGCCGACTGAATGTCTTAACATCCTATGTTTTGGAATGATCGAGCCTCCTTCAGGATTGTTCGATTAGATATTCGCAGCCAGCAAAAATCTGCCAGCTGTCTGTCTGCACTTCGGACTAGTGCTAGGATTAAGACCTAGACCTATTCAACAAAGTTCATGCTTAGAAGGGGAAAACAGTCGGAAGTTGGCCTTAGCTCGTCGGCTGCCATGTTTTATTTTCATAATGACTTCTTCGTTTCACAGACAAAATTGAAAGATTCTACTGAAATCAGTGCGACCGACCAGCACCGATTTCTTCGCTCTGTAGCCCTTCCTTGCTGTCTATTGCCATTCTTTTTCATTTTTGTCTGAAAAAAATGTTTACACCGATGATTATTTTCAATCGATTCGGTTTGATTTTTTTCTTTTGATCCAGACAAGCCTTGTCCACGATGGTCCGTTCATGTAGCTCCCATTTGAAACTGTGGTGCTCTTCCAATGAAAGTCGCCCTTATAAAATGGAATCGCACGCTTTAGTCAGTTACTATCCCGTACAGCCAAGCAACTTTATTGGTTTACAGTGCACCGCGGGTCTTCAAAGTTATTCTCAGACTCTGTTCTACCGTACACAGTCCTTCATTCTAGAATTGCTGCTTCTCGGTCTTTCGGTATTTCATTCCGACATCTTGCCCCTTTAGCTTTTCCTTCTGATATCCATAACAGAAAACCGTTTGCTTGATTTGATCATTATATGGGCTTCCGAGGACCATCCGTCCATTAAAATCAGTCGTCTAATATCCATTTGAATGGTTGTTTAGACTAGTGATATGATAGAGGTAAAAATTCAGAAGAATGATGATAATCAGCGCACCCCTACTGCAGGCATGGTTCAAGAATGAAGTTTTTTATGGGTTTTTATTGCAGTAACTTTACAGGGACCGGTTTCACGGAAGAGCTTGATAATAGGGCATTCCACATAGCTTCGCATCGCACTTCTTGCTCTAGCTAAACACCCATACAAACAGTACCCACTATTTCTTTAATGAACAGTTTTATGATGATCAAGGATTGATCGGTTTCTACTGGTTTATGTATCGATGTGATTTTCTTTACCAATTTACTATATTTCTCTATTTCACCCTAAATAATGGTGAGCAAGCCTCGAAATGAGGAAGTCATGCAGATGAAGGAGCAATTATCTGTCATTTTTATACCTCGTAACAAGTTGTCTGATACCAGATTTTAGATGGACGAGTTAGCTGCTCGGTTGGAATGTCACCGTGATCTACGGCGTGACTGTGTCCATATCGATATGGACGCTTATTTTGCTGCTGTGGAAATGCGCGATGATCCAAGCCTTCGAACGGTACCGATGGCTGTCGGTTCATTATCGATGCTGGTGAGCTCTTAAGTTTTTTGCAGAAGTTGATGGTTGAGTCACTGGGATCGGCTATGTTCAGACATGCTTGTTAATGCGAGAACTTAAGAGGTTCTTTGATTAGTCTTCTCATGTGTTCTCTTTTTTTTATATTTTTCAATTTAATTGTACCTTGTATGACAGTGTCGCTGTATTGAAAGTACTACCTATCTGACTCCTTCTTACTTTTCGTTTGCCAATTGTACGTTTCCGGTCTCAAAGAAAGGGGAAAGAGTAAACGGGCAGCATTAAGTGAAGGAGTTCTCTTTTTCGGGCTTGCCTTCCTCACCCTGCCTCGCTAGTCTCGACCGTTTTCCATATTGAAAACTTTACTCATAATTTATCAACAACGAAACTGACTTTGGCACTGTTCACCCATGTGAGAGGTACGGCAGTTGGTTGAGTCTTCGAGGAAGATTGGAAACTCCATATGCCTGGTTTTTTTTTAGGTTCACTTCTTCTTCCGTTGAGAACTCCGAAGGTTTGAAAATTTCGGGCTACAAAACTGAAGCCTGGAAATATTAATCTGCCTCATATCAAATGTAATTTCGCGATGGTTTCGCTAGTTTTGTCTGGAGTCTGTCACTTTTTCGAAAGTACTTACCAGGGAAGGATCCCAAGTCGAAGTGGCCATTTGAAATGAGACCTACACTGCTAGGCGTGTTTTTGG